TCCGCGAGACGATGGTTAGAAACATTGAATGACATGGCTCAAAATTATTTGTAATGGTGCAGGTGCATCCACTCTTTGTGTTCTCCCAAATTCTAATCTCCTTATTCCTCCTTGTCTCTTTTTTTCTCTTCCCAAATTTGTTTCACTGAATTATACCCTTTAAACAACATCTTCAAACCCTAATGTTTCCAATTACTGCTTATATTCTTACCGCCTTTAGCACTACGGGATTTGAATCGACCATTGCATTTCTGTGCTAATGTGGTATGGCAACTCGAACTGATATACGTACGTACGAATTTCTACGTTGTTACTGACTGACTGACTGTTGATCTTTAGTTCAACAGAATTATTGTCAGTATTCCAAACCCTCTGAAGAGTTGATTTGTGTAAGTACAAATAATAATCATCATCATGAGTTTAGAGAACATTTCAAAAGGAAATCTAACTAAATGAATGTTAAAAACCTAAGATGGTTTATTCAAACATGACAGACAGTTGAGTCGAACGGAGTCGTGGATATGCACTGCTGAGGAGTTCAGTACTAAAAAGAAACAGCCTTCCAGTGTCTCCACGTTTTCCATGATGATTTAACTTTAATTAACTCATGAATTCAACTATTAAATATCCACAAAACCCTTTTCTAAATCGAAGATGTTGATAAATTAAAACTAAATTTTGATCATTCACTTAAAGAAATTAATAGGACTATTGACAACCATATAAACAGAGATAGATGGTGATTAGTAGTGGGATCCAGTTTGACGCGTGTTTTGTTCTATTCATGACCTGTCAACTGGATGTACTTGCATCTCGCAGTTGATGTTCACTTCAACAACAAATAAATTTAAACTTCACAACATTAAACAACCAGATGGCTATAAGGACTCAGTAGCTAAGTAGATAACGCGATAGCACATGAATCGGACGGTACTGGGTTCGAGTCCTAGAGTGAATAACACTAAGATGCAGGTACATCCAGCTGACGAATCCCAAATAGGACGAAACACGCATCAAACTGGATTCCACTGCTAGTGATTATCCATCTTTGCTTCTAAAGCTTGTAACTTAAGGCTAATACTGAGGCAATCCGCACAGAATTCACATATGCCAACATGAGACTGATCACTTGCAGTCCTAAATAACGGTAGGAAGATACAAGTAAAACAATAACACCAAGTGAATTGTATAGTTTTTATATTTTACCAAGATCTAAATTGATTATCCTCATCTACGACCTCGTATTCTACATACGTAGATATTGAATGTGAATCTACATATTTGTGTTTATAATTTGAATAATTTGCCTATTCACATTCATTAAAACAGAACAGAATTGAAGAAGAGGGGAGAAGGTGGTAATACATTGTACGGTTCATTGGAATGTTGATAATCATTTATCTGCTCCAATTTGTAAATTAATTAATGAATGAATTAATTAATTCAATGTAGGTTAATCAAATTTGATTATTTCTAAATGAATATTGAAATATCAGATGGATTTTGTGGATATTATTAGTAATTTCAATGGTTGAGATCATGAGTCCATTGAAACTAGATTACTATGGTGAACCTGGAAGCACAACGCCTTCTGATAGTAATCGATATATACTTACTAGTGACTGGCTTCAAGAAGTATATCCTGAAGTTCTAGTGTGAAGTAAAGACCAATGGAGTTCAACCACGTCTGTTGTGAGATAGTAACTCACTGAAGACAGTGGTGGATGTGTCGCTCAATGGTCTAGTGGCTAACGGATCGCGCGCGGAACCAGTAGGCACCGGGTTCGAGTCTCGCAGGGGGTGAGGTTGTGGATGCTCACTGGTGAGGAGTCCCACAATAGGACGAAACGGCTATCCAGTACTCCCAGGTTTTCTATGGTGGTCTAGCTACAACTGAATCATGATCTTAACCGTTGATTATTGAAATATTGGTATACTTTTAATGAATGAATATTGCAATCAAATACAAAATAAACCTTCTTTTAAGATTACAAGTACATCTTGATGATGAGTGGCAAGTAGCACAAAATTTAGTTCCAGGGTTTGCTGTTGATGACTACATTCAACTACCATCTTTTCTCAACTATAAGGCATGTAATATCGAGTCACCTTGACTACTGGCCACATTGAAACATGATTGATGGGATTCGATCTGCACTAAGAAGGACCTGACACATATGACAGTGATCACCATCTAGTGATCAGTCTATTATAATCTTCCATAATATTTATTATAGTACACTTCATACCTGTTATATCCATAAAGAGTTTTAAAATAACTAATTAATAGTGTTCACTGATTGAAACTCAAAGGATAGTTTTAATCTATGCTTGGAGATATTGGATGATATGATTTGAAATCGTTTAACATTGGCACAGTTGTATTCATTCAGTGTCTTTCTTGATCGAACAATAGGATTAGATCGATTCTTCTCTTGAAGAAATTAATGCTTTCAGTGAGATTGGAATCCATTTTATCCCAGTTTCACAGTTTGTGATGTTCCGATTGAGCTATTCAGGCAGCGAATGACCTCCGGTAGGACAGAGGTATGGTGACCGATTTCATGTGCTCTCAAAATTACAGGTAATTCTTCCTGGTGAATTTCAACATGGTCAAAATTGTGATCCAGGATTCCTTCTCGATTACTTCCAATCACTAAACACGAAAATGCAATTCTCAATATCACAAGGCACTTAGACAAGTGGCCACATTTCAAATTGATCAATGGAATTTTGCCATCACTAAAGACTAAGCAAACATGACACTGGTCAATATTCAATTATCAATCAACTGTATATCTACACTTCACTTAGAATGTGATTGCTATTATGAACTGACAGTTGAGAAAACTATTGCAGCTCAAAGATTACTGTATAATTTGAAGTTTCCATAAAACCCATAAGACTTTTCGACAGTGCACAGAGATCGAACCCAATACCTTCTAGTGTTGAGACAGGCTCTTAATCTTTAGATCAGTAAGTGATTACCCAATGATTTACATTTCTAATATACGTCAGGTGATTGAAGAGAGTTGACAAGAAGCAATAAAATGAAGTTCCCAGCTAGGTAACACTTAATAGACAACGTTCTTTATTTCTAAATGAACTAAATTTCTCTTAGAGATCAGAACTTTTATAACTTGTGGCTTTTGTGCTCCTATCAATATATGATGTGATGATAGCGCCAATTAGATAATAGTGACTTATCAACTGGACAAATGACGCATAAACCCGTAAGAGCAGTCTTAAGTCCTTATCGGTCCTGCTTTCCACTTAGCCTTGCCTGTTAAATTTCGGTTTCCTTAAGATTGCTAACACAGTACTCTTCTGAGAAAAGACCATTGAACTTTCTAGAGTTAACGCAAATTTATCACATATAAATCACTGACTTAGTGTCTAGTAGTTTATACATTTAAATTCAGTTCATTTTATGATACGGGACTCATTTCATCAGTGATAAATGCTTTACTTCCAACAGGACTGACTTTTCCGGTTTCATTAAAACTTTATGACCTCTTGTAGACAGTCCCCAATAAACAGATGAGTCAATTGAAGACAGACCACCATGGAAAACCAGGAAGAACTAGATGATTGTTTCGTTCCAGTATGGGACTTTTCATTAGTAAGAATACACGATCCCACACTAAAGGGACTCGAACATAGCACCGTCGGTTTCATGCGCGAATGCTTAGTCTCTAGACCACTGAGCCGACATCTAACAGCGTTGATGATGTCTAACTTCAACCAATCCACGAAATTGCACTACCGTCCACTACCCTCCTCAATGAGTTACTATCACACAACAGATGCGGCTTAACTTCACTGGTCACTGCTTCTCATTAGAACTTCAGGAAATACCTCTTAGAGACAGTTACTAATGAGCATATGATGATTATAATAAGAGAGAAGGGTTTTGTAGAGATTTTAGTAATTTAATAGTTGAATTCATGAGTCATCTCAAGCTAGACCACCATGGAAAACCTGAGAGCAGTGTTAAATCACTATTAAATTAGTAAAATCTCCATAAAACCCCACTCTGTTTGTTATTAGAAAGATTTTACGATCCATGTATCTGAAAAGACCCACATTACGATATAAAAGTTATCTAGTGTTTCTTTTTATTTCACCTCTTCAAATGATTGTCTTGAGTCAATTCAATTATCTTTACAGCCTTCTTAATCTAACCTAAACAGAATTAATGACAGCAGATACATTCAGCTGGTGAGTCCCAAATAGGGCGAAACATGCGTCAAACTGGATTTCACTGGTAGCCACTATCCATTTTTTGCAATATGCATGAGATGAACATATGCCAACAAGAGACTGATCAATTACAGTCCTAAACATCAATGGGAAGATTCAAACAACTAATACTAAATGAATTTCAACTTCACCCCATTGCACAAGTTGGTGGCTATCAGAACTCAGTAGGTAAATGGATAACGTGATAGCGTTCGAAGTGAACGGTACTGAGTTCGAGTCCCTAAGTGAACATCAACTCTTGGATGCAGGTATATCAAGCTGATGAATCCCAAATAGGACAAAACGCGCTTCAAACTGAATTCCACTGGTAGTCACTATTCATCTTTGCTTATAAAGAATTCATGATAGTTTTCATCATTAAAATGAATCATGTCAACATAGAACAATCAATTTAATTTTCATTCATAAATGATTTTGTTACTATTTTAATCAGATAAAGATAAAAGAAAAACTTGTTAGAACAATTTATCTCCATACACAATAACTTTCTACCATCTCTCTCTCCCCCCCCCCTTATCTCTCTCGTTGTCTATCCGTCTTCTTTCCCTTGGTCCCCTACATTAATACACACACACACATACACTTTCAATCATGTGCATATAAACAAAACTAATTCAATTACAGAGAAAAAGAAACTATGCACAGGTTGTACCATATTGAAAATTAAAAGAAATAAAGACAACCGTTCTACAAACTATTTGTCACATCTGTTTAATGAATGAAACATTTTGACATAATCAATACAGAATAATTATAGTAGTAGTAGTAGTAGTAGTAGTAGTAGTAGTAGTAGTAGTAGTAGTAGTAGTAGTAGTAGTAGTAGTAGTAGTAGTAGTAGTAGTGGTAGTAGTAGTAGTAGTAGTAGTAGTAGTAGTAGTAGTAGTAGTAGTAGTAGTGGTAGTAGTAGTAGTAGTAGTGGTAGTAGTAGTAGTAGTAGTAGTAGTAGTAGTAGTAGTAGTAGTAGTAGTGGTAGTAGTAGTAGTAGTAGTAGTAGTAGTAGTAGTAGTGGTAGTAGTAGTAGTAGTAGTAGTAGTAGTAGTAGTAGTAGTAGTAGTAGTAGTAGTAGTAGTAGTAGTAGTGGTAGTAGTAGTAGTAGTAGTAGTAGTAGTAGTAGTAGTAGTAGTAGTAGTAGTAGTAGTAGTCGTAGTAGTAGTGGTAGTAGTAGTAGTAGTAGTAGTAGTAGTAGTAGTAGTAGTAGTAGTAGTAGTAGTAGTAGTAGTAGTAGTAGTAGTAGTAGTAGTAGTAGTAGTAGTAGTAGTAGTAGTGGCACTAGTAGTGGTAGTAGCAGTACTCATATTAGTAGTATGTGCATGTTGTTTTATTTGAAAAGAAGGAAGATAACCTATAAATATTACAAAGAGACAAACAATCAAACGACTTGTAGTTGACTGAATTTGTCTGGGAAATAATTCCAGTTTCCTTTTTTTCCCAGAAATAGATAGTCTCGGATTGATTAGATATGTCTACAATTATTAGATTATTATTTGTAAATCAGTAAATCTCAGCATTTCCCCTCTTTCTCTCTCTCTCTCTGTGTCTGTTTCATTTATTGATAATGTCAAATTGTACTATTGATAATGATTTTGATTATCATTGATTAGTATCATTCAATACTTAAACAGATATTGAACTTGATTAATTACACAGATAATATGGATTCATACTAAGGATGACGACGATGATGATGATGGTAATGAAGAGGATGACGGAGGCAGTGGTGGTGGTGGTGGCGGCGGTGGCGGCGGCGGCGGTAGCAATAAGAATCATTCATTTTCAATTACATATCCCTATTCTATTTTACTTTTTACTATCAAAGTGGTAGGGAACAATTTACAACAGACAAGATAACTATAATGTCATTGTCACATACATGCACACACACACACACACACGCATATAAATAACACAAATACAACTAGATAAATCTGAAATTTAAGAAAAAATTATGATTCATTTTAACGTGATTAGTAACTTCTGCCAAATATCAGAAGGGGTTTTGTGGAGATTGTAGTAATTTCAATAGTTAGAATCACGAGTCAATTGAAGCTAGACTACCATGGAAAACCTGGAAGCACTGGACGGCCGTTTCATCCTATTGTGTGACTCCTCAGCAGTGCTCATCCATAACCCCTCCTGATAGTAATCAATATATCCTCACTAGTGACTGACTTCAAGAGGTATTTCCTGGAGTTTTAATGAGAAGCAGTGACGAGTGGAGTTCAACCGGGTCAGTTGTGAGATATTCACTCACTGAAAACAATGGTGGATATGTTGCCCAATTTCGTGGATTAGTTGAAGTGAGACTTTAACACCGTTAGATGCCGACCGGCTCGTAAGCCGCGACTGACCGGTCATGGGTTCGATCCTCGCGAGGCGAGGTCATGGAAATTGCTGTTAAAGTTGATAGAATGAAAACAGAATTTGTAGGTTTTACAGTGAAATATTCCAGATATAATATTATGGTTAGTTAGGTAACTAAATATGAAAAATGAATTAAATGAGTTGCAACTTAATAATAATCAAGTAGAACCAGACAATAATTCTGTTCTAACATAAAACTAATCAATAGTGTACACTAATGACTGGAATCTGAAATGATCTAAACATTAAATATTCACCTTATGATCTGAAGCTCTTGAGTTAGATCTGTTTTAAGATTGTAAGTGTTATATACTAAGAAGAAATAACTGTCTGATGTGCGTCTATCTCAATGCTTTCAGCTGAATCTATTTCTCAGCAGGGAAAGATGGTAAAACAGGCAAATGAAACGATGTCAAACGAATAGGCCACATTGTGCTAATTAAAAATCCCCCCAATGACATATGAACGTAATTGGTCAAGAAATAGCCTTATTTTCTAGGGAGTTGATGTCATTATCAACTCCTTAAAAAAATAAGGCTATTTCTCCTCTCTGGAGGCAGTGTGTTTGCAATCACTTCGAATTGAGATCATGTTCCAGTCGTGTGACTTTTACCCTCAAATACCCTGGTACGGCCGAGAGTAAGGAAAGTTCGCTCTCCCTCTCGAAATGCTCTCACATGGCCACTTGCATACAACCACTGACAGGGAATTCCTACTCACTGCCTTCTCGTGGCGGGAGTGTTGTTGTGGTGGTCGGTATTCGATATAATCCTTAAACTCCGTATACAGCTCGTCTTGATAACCGTTCTATATAACGTCCCAGCGGTTTATTAATCAGAAGGCAAATACGAAGTGTTGATTACGTTTATTACGAGACCCCACACATATATCCAAATGTACAGATGTGTTAAACAAGCATAGGAGAGTTGTGCCGAAAGGCAAGCAAGCGAGAGAGAGCCATAGCAAGAGCGAGACGAGAGTGTGTGAGTGAGTGAGTATGAATAACATGGATATATATATACTTAGTGAAATGAATGAGTAATCGAATCAAATAAGCAGTTAGTAGTTAGACTAGCAGAGTGAATAAATGCGTAGGCCGTAAGTAATATTCAAGCATACGTATTTCATACAAGCACAAAATCATAAAGGTACAATAAATTGTTATAGTGCGGATGACTTTGTCCGCTAAATGAGTTAGCAAAAGGGCTTAACTGCGTTAGATGAGACTAAACTCATTTGCACGTGAGTCACTATATTGTTTACGAAATTGAGAGAATGAAAAGTGAATGTCCGACGCTTTAAACGGGTTGGTGGACATGGAGAGTCCACTTAGGGGAGTTGAAAAACTTTGATTCCAAACCACTGGTGCACATGGGCTCCAGTATTCTGAGGGAACAAATGGCGTACGAACCAATCGTTGGTCACCGGCTACCATGAGACTGCATCTCCTTTGTGGATCAGATCTTCAGGTCGGAGGCTCCGATTGTGGTCTCCTAAGAAAACCACTTGCTTCAGTTTGGGAACCCGCACAGCATCACAGCCGTCTCACATATACCAAATGAGATTTGTGTGGCGCATATGTTATTCGGTGCCTCCTTGTACCAATATCTATGTGTTAAAAAATAAAATAAATAAAAATTAAAGGAGTTGACATATAAACATATGAGTAAGTGTTTATGAATTCGGTTCGATTTGACTCAGTAAATTTCCTTCTTTTTACTTAATATTCTCACTCATTAATCGGTTGATGGCTTGAATACAGAAAATTTGTGTAACAATGTCAGACTTGGTTACTGTGATTCATGATACTATTGAAAGCTTAATGATTTCTAAAATCCATATCTATTTAAGGTCAGTTTGTATTGTAACCAATCTTTGAACGAACCAGTCTACATAAACCTCTCATTCTGTAAGCGAATTTCATTGTCAGTTAAAATCCTCCAGCTAATGATTATTATGCCTGATAATGGAACCTAAACTCTTTATGGATCAATCTTGTTTGTAGTTAACAGTGAGTGAATAATAATACTTCGACGCCTAATCAAAGCTCGTGAAGAGCAGATTAGAGAAAACCAGGCCGGTTTTCGACCTGAACGTGGTTGTGTAGATCAGATATTCACACTACGTCAGGTTCTAGAACACAGACACACATTCAGACGCCCCACAATGGTAGTATTTCTCGACCTTAAGGCGGCATTCGACTCTGTTGATCGTGAGGTTCTATGGCAGTGTTTGTTACTGAAAGGAGTACCAAAGAAGTACATTAACCTTATAAAGGCTCTCTACTCGAACACAACTGGTAGAGTGAGAGCTTATGGCGAACTGTCATCAGAATTGATTACCTCAAGTGGTGTTCATCAGGGCTGTCCACTCTCCCTATTCTTGTTCAACTTTGTGGTCGACGTACTTTTAGAGATAACACTCTCCTCATCTAAATTTCCAGGGGTTGAACTTCTACCGGGAGGTTCACTTGTTGACTTAGAATATGCAGATGACATAGTTTTATTTGGCGAAGACGCTGACAAAATGCAGAGTCTTTTGACCACTCTAAGCAACAATGCAAGCATGTTTGGGATGTGATTATCTCCCTCGAAGTGCAAAATGTTACTTCAGGATTGGGTTACATCGACACCCGAACTAGTGATGAGGAGTGAAGTAGTTGAGTGTGTCGACCGCTTCACTTATCTTGGAAGTTTCATCAGCCCTTGTGGTCTGGTGTGTGACGAAATCTCAGCACGGATACAGAAGGCTCGACTAGCTTTTGCCAACTTGCGTCATTTACGGCGTAGGCGAGATATCCGTCTATCAACCAAAGGACGGGTTTACTGCGCAGCAGTTCGTTCCGTCCTACTTTATGGCAGTGAAACATGGCCAGTAAGAGTAGAGGATATCCGTAGGCTACTAGTATTTGATCATAGCTGTCTTCGAAATATTGCTCGTATATCCTGGGACTATCGAGTAAGTAATGCAGTTGTTAGGAAACGGGTACTAGGTAAGGATGGCAAATCAATTGATAAAGTAGTGAAACTTCATCAGTTGAGATGGCTGGGACACGTGTTACGTATGCCCAACGACCGACTACCTCGTCGTGCTATGTTCAGTGGTATAGGAGTAGGTTGGAAGAAAGCAAGAGGCGGCCAAACCGAAACATGGCACAAATCCATGAAGTCATTGACAAGTGAACTGAGTCATGTTGGTAGGTGTAGACTACCTGGTTGGGGACCGCGAGACGATAACAACCGATGGTTAGAGACCCTGAATGACATGGCTCAAAATCGTTTGTAGTGACACAGGTGCATCCACTCTTTATGTTCTCCCAAATTCTAATCTTCTGAATTCTTCATGTCCCTTTCTTTTTTCTCTTTCCAAATTTGTTTCACTGGATTATACTCCTTGAATAACATCTTTAAAGCCTAATGTTTCCGATTACTGCTTATACTTTTACTACCTCTACCCTACCACCATGGGATTTGAATCGACAATTGTGTCTCTCTGTCAATGTGGTGTGGTAACTCGAACTGATGTACATGTGTACCAAGTTCTACGTTGTTACTAACTGACTGACTGACTGACTAACAGTGAGAACTTTCAAAGAGTTTGCACCTATGACAGATTAAATGTCTAACTTCAGGATTTTTGATAGTACATAAGCTAATACTCATCTGTACTGGGAATCATCTTCATAATGCAATATGACAGATAAAATGAACAGCTACAATATCACATACTAATTACTAATGGTTAATAGGATTGGTTCACTGATGTAACTAACATTTCATCTACAAATTCATCAGTATATTCACAGTAACTTTCTAGTTCTACAAATTAAAACTATACGAAGTGATCATTTACAGTCAAAATTTATTTGAATTACGTCATCATTGATATGAACGAAATCTCAGTACGGTTTCAAAAAGCTCGTTTGGCTTTTGTC